CAAACAAACAAACAAACAAACAAACAAACAAACAAACAAACAAACAAACAAACAAACAAACAAACAAACAAACAAACAAACAAACAAACAAACAAACAAACAAACAAACAAACAAACAAACAAACAAACAAACAAACAAACAAACAAACAAACAAACAAACAAACAAACAAACAAACAAACAAACAAACAAACAAACAAACAAATAAATAAATATTAATCACAAAAATTACCAACTTAAATAAATAAGATTTTTAATAATCGGAAACATCGTATGGTAATAAACTGACAATAGTGCCAATTCTGTTTTAAGAGTTTTATTTAAATCTAACTAAAGAGTTTATAACTTTTTAAAAAATAATTATTAATAAGTTTATTATTTTATAAGATTTTGTCTAGGTAATCCTATTAATATAATAAATGTGAAAGTTTCTTTGTTTGAATGTTTGTCCGTCAATCACGCCGAAACTACTGAACGGATTTCGATGAAATTCGTAAGTATACGGATAGGGTATTAGCTGACTTACGACTTTTTTATCCCACTAAACAATTCCTTTCGTTTTCGCACGCGGGCAAAGCCGCTGGCGAAAACTAGTAAATAATAAATCTAATAATACCTTTTATCTAGTGCAGAAGCTGTCATTAGAATTAATAGTTCATTTGTGAGTAGCTCCCATTGCGGCTGCATCTATACATCTGAACAAGGTTTTGTAATATTCATTTAAGCCAGTATCAGATACGCAACTGCTCGGATTATGACACACTGGGTGGTTAATAATGACGCACGTAATAACCGCCTAATGATGCGTTTATCATTACAATTTGTCATCGCCATTGTTTTTTAATGATATACACTATTGTCGGGATCATTTTGACCCGATTTTTGCGTGTCAATGTTTTATGTTGTTAATAAATAATTGTTGTTAAAGTATTTGTAATTTATTATTGATCTATATAGCAATTTGTTATGTAATAATTGATATTAATTTTCTCTGTGATAATTAATTGTGTAGCTCAGGGATTTAGTTTGCTAATTAGGTTAGTATTTTCTCGGTAATAATTCTGATCTTATTTCCTTCCAGATTTTAATGATACAGATGATCAAATAACAATTTATATCAACACTTTTAAATCAAATTGTTTGAAGTGGTATGAAATAGTCAGGTATAGTTTTTATCTCTAGTGTAAACTTATTTGGATTATTAACATAGATAGTTTGTTTGTGTAGTGCTATTATTTGATTCAATCCGTAGGGAAGTCTACGGATTGTATCAAATAGAGGAAAGGGTTGTAACAAGAGACAAACCACCATATAGACCAAATCCGGGTTGTTGAGTGGTAATGACTGCAAATGCAAATGATTTAGAAATTCGTTCACCTACTTGGAAGATATATCATACACAGGTGCCATAGGCTACAATTTACTCGAGCGAAGTCACGGGAAAACCGCCATATATATATATATCAATAAATCATTTTAATGTTAGGATTCGTTAGAATATTCATGATGTTGTTATGATACAGTTAGCAATGTGCCTGATGGGTAACGGTAACCGTTATTGCAGGACAACTGCATTGCAAATGGGACGTTTCTGTCCGGAATATTGACGGCTAATTATAACTGTAAACTATTAGTTGTAGAATAAAGCGTTTTTATTATGATATGGCTATGTTATCACGTACAGATGTTATAGTCTAAGAGCTGGGTTTCAAAACGAAGCCGTATTCTACAATTGTGCAGTCCGAGCCTTACTTAATGGAAATTTATATTTTAACTAACGAGTTTTTAACAAGAAACTCTTGTCATATATAGGTCTAATTCTATATACTTTACATGCGCTGCCACCAACTGCTCCATATCCGAAGCGTTTCCCTAGTACTTCAACATAATTAAATACCAAGCTTTAGAAAACTCTTGTACATTTTAATCACAAGCTCTCCATCTATAATAAAATTGTGTCTGATAGACGAACGTATATTTTAAAAATAGTTTTTACGTGTAATTGTTCATCTTCTGTCTGCCTGGTGCAACAAAACAGACGCATTCGTCTTTACATCTAGTCTTCAAAAAATTAAGCTAACAGTTATGATTTACCAATTAAGTTATATACGTTTTTGTAATTTTTTTATCCAACAATAAAAACCACATCGACATCTGTTATGTCATTTAGGAGGAGTTAAAAGCCTAACAGATTTGGGGATGACAGTGCGGCATTAATGTATATGTACTGATATTTTCTTAGCTTCAATGTTACAATGTATTATGTCATAATAGTATATTTTAAATGTGACCTTTTTAGGTTATAAGCAATAGGTCACGCGTTTGGTATTCTTAATGGTGACGCAATATAAAAGATAGCAAGCACTAACATCGATTACAACACTTGACGTTTGAGTCATGTGAATTTTTATGAGCCCGATTAATTCTATGTCGATACAATTAAGCAAAAGATTTTGATTGAAGTCTCTAATCCTTAGAATAAACATTCCAAATTTGAGAAAATATTGTTACAAATGATTTGGATATAAACTAATATAATAGAGAAGGAAGATTTGATTATTTATTTGTATCGAATAGGATCCAAAACTACTGAACCGATTTTATAAATTCACTTACATAATGCTGGATTGATATAGCTATAGTTTACTTGAGCGAAGTGTTAGATATGTTGCTTTGTGTAATTGCACAGGTTATATGGCTATGTTCCAACTTCATCATCACATCAATAGGGCAATCCTGTAATGTTATATAAGCGTGATTATGGAAAGTCAATAGCGCTTCAACTACAAACCTCTGACACAGCTAGATTTGAAAATATTAAATATATTCGTCACCATTTATCTGTGGCTAATACATTGTACTAATAATATTGTACTTTAGGTTGATAGTACAATGGCATAATGCAAGTAGTTGAAGTTTTATTAACATGCGATTATTACGCTAAATTAAGGATAAAAGAGGCCCGCCCGGCTCCACTTCATAAAATTCCATTACCTTTCAAGTAGTGCAAACAAAATTTTAGTTCAATCGAAACATACTACTATACCATGGAAAGTTTAAATCTTTTAAATGCAAAAGATATGACTCCTAAGTAATAACGACTGGTAAAAAGCACTAAACATAACTGTTAAAATGTAGTATCAAAATATATTTTTTATTAACTCATATTTCACGGCGAAATTTTATAGCGTATTTTATCGATATCGATAGATGTATGACGCTGGAAGCTATAATACTGGCGAGCGTATATAATCTGTATATATTAAGAGTTAAATGCGCGTGTAAAAAAGACAATTCTCTCTGGTTACTTCACAAGGGATCTGCAGTGTTATTTTGTTATAAAACACAGCTTCAAACTCGTCACAGTATAAACCCAGTCAACCCAGTGCTGTAACAGTATTAGTAGTTCATTCAGATGAAACCTTCTTAAAAAAGTAATAATGGTTTTATTTCGTTGAAGCTCTATACTGTCACAGCCACAGGTGACAGCGATGCGCCTGAAGTCGAGTTCGAGGCAGTTTTTATTACTGATAATATATAAATTTATGATAAATATTAACTATTACATTGAATGCAAATATAACATTGAAAAATACTGGAAAGCTTTCCTAAAGCCCATCTTTAAACAATATTTGGTGTTTTTTCTTTCGACCATGAAACCAGCTTGATGCATCGAAACTCACCAATTGGAGTTCTCAAAGTATTTATTAAGTCGTTTCATTTGAAGTAATACGAATTTACAATTACTTAAAGGAAATACAAGATTGTGTGGTGAGTAGTCTATTGTGCAATACAAAAGACATCAACGACTTACTGCGCATGCGCATTGCAATATGCAACAAAAAGCAATCAATAAATTTGTTTCAGCACATTGACCTGACTGTATTATTATAAAAAATTTGGATACTTAAAAACCTTTTTGACTATCAGTCTGTTTCATTTATTTTTGTTAAAATTCGCTATAGCTCATGTCATCCGTATATGATGTAGCTTCCCGTATGTAAAAGACTTTTTGAAATCAGTCTAGTAGTTTCGGAGCATATATTCATGCAAACAAACAACAAAACCTTTCCTCTTTGTGATATTGCTGTACCTCCTTCATTAATTTTATTTGAAAAAAAAAAATAGAGATTATTTAAATCAATAGAAAAAATGTATAACCGGCAATAAGTCAATTACAGGTTATGTTCATTAAGTTTTTATTGTAATTTCAAAAGCATTGTAAGCGAAAGCAACAATGGACAATGGGTGTTTCTTGTAAAAGTATATTACGACTTCGCTCTGCGTGAAGTCGTCAGGTCGGGTCATCACTTTGACATCACCAGAATTATTCTTTACAAGCTTTTACCCAAATCATCTCCTCCCGGAATTAATCTTTCCAGTAGCTTTACATAGATGTCCATTCATTTTAAATTGTAAAAAATATAAACTAATCAGTTGTTTAGCTCGGTGGCGTAGTGGATAAGCGCCGCGACCCGCGATCGTTGTCGTTAAACAACTTTCGCAAGGGTTGGTCACGGGATGGGTGACCAAAAAATTATTATTTTGAGCTACTCCGTGCTTCAGAAGGCACGTTAAGCCGTTGATTCCGGCTGCATTTGCAGTCGTTAAGACCCTCCAATCCTCATTGGGTCAGCGTGGAGGGTCATGGCCCATCCTCCTTAACCATCCATAAGGAAGGCCTGAGCCCCTGCAGTGGGGACGTAAAAGGGCTGACGATGATGATGAATCAGTAGTTTTATTCATTTCAAAGATTATTTAAAATTTTAATAAATACAATTTGAAAAGTAATTTCAGTATTGTATTTTAGGTATACTATTCCATATTTGGTTACTTGCCTTTGCATATTAGTAAAGAGATTTTATTTTCAGTTTAACTGTTTAAAACTACAGTAAGTTATTTAAGCACTAGAAACTAAATAAAATATTAATATTAATCCTTATATATGAATAATATATTCATTTTTATATTTATTAAATTTATCTTGTTCTTTGTCCACAGAATATCACAACATGGCTGTCATTAATCATAGCGGTGATGGCCTTATCCAGTTCAGGTATGTTCCACGTATTTTATTATTGACAATTTTATGTAACTAACGTAACAAGTTAGAGTAAGTGGTGCATATCTGACAGAAGATGTGTCTCGTATCTTTGATCACGTGAAGTCAGATCGGAACTGCTGAAAAATATACCCACCAAAAACATTTTCATGTAAAGTGTTGCCAAGCCGAGGCCAGGCTTGTAAAGTTAGGGGGTGTAGACATAGAATCTTCGAAAAAGAAATGAGGAATGGGGACTTAAATAGACTGATGATAATTTATATATTCAGTAATATTCAATAATGTAATCGACATCATTAAGTTACTACGAATTATTAAAATCGAATTTAAGATTTAATTTGTCTTTAAATTAAAATTAACTTCAAATTAACCGCAGAATGTTCTATTGTAACATGATATGCGGCCGTATATCTCAAGTCATTAGTAAACTAAAATTTCATTTAAATTTGTACAAAAATAACTAAGCGTTTCGTCTTGTTTTTAATCTCTAGGTATATAATTAAATAATGAAAGTTAGATCACTCGCAACCTTGAAGAGAATCTCAAACAATTATAATATCACATAGTTACATTACTATAATTATTTACGAATGAAATGAATTATCTGTTACGGTTCAACTGCTATGCAACTCTATCATAATAATATACATTAGAATCTAGAACAAAATTATTGCAAATCATGAACCGATTTCATAGTAATATAAGTAATACCTTGTGGCTTCATACGGTAGGCAAATAATAATGTTTTGTGTCTTCATTTCGGGGATAAATAATTACCAATTTTTTGTGGACATACAATACAATTGAATGATTACTTACAGTTTATTTACAATATACACAATCATAAAAACATAAGTTGAGTTTTATTTAAATATGAAATTATAATCAATTATTGTAGATAAAACCTTTTCCTATATTAATCAGACACTGGCATCATTTCGTATACCTTTTTGAATTAATATTTTATACACTGTTTATTGTTTTTATGTCACTCTCTTCTGACTTTTATGTATTCATAACGTGAAATATATTAAATACTCCAATCCACTGTGACTCTTAATTCCTACATTTTAAGAATAATAACGAAACATAATTGTAGAATAAACAGGGAGCCTACTCTGTCTCTCCGAAAACGACGTGTAATTTTAATTTCCAAATAAGACTCCTTTTCTAGAGTTTAGAGTTTGCAAAATAATTCCCCATAAAACAGCTCTTGCGAAACGCCAACACTACGTTATTAGTTCATTTCTATATAATGCTGCTAATAGAGTGACTTACATCTATCTTCTGCCTCTCAGCAGATGCAAGGATTATATTAAAAATTGGCTGCTTAAATTAAATTTCAACCAAACAGAAGAAATTCTGCGTGTATAATTGTTCCTCACACATCTGAAACTGACTGTGATGGTAAGCTTGTCCATATTCCTTTCCTTTTGGACAAATGGTATAATGTTAAGCTCCAAATTTCTAAGTTTATCAATGTAACTGGAAGACGCAGGCAGCTGTGCCTCAGTTTAACACTAGTACAGCTGCCAACGTTACCCTTAATTATGGTGTGCACATACAATAAACCATTGTAACTAGGTAAATTATTTGTATTCTGAATTGCTCAATAAATTATTATTATTAACTATGATGCAATGCGAGTGGTGCTTTTTATGCAGAGATAACCCTACACATCTTCACGAATATGAGTTTGACAAAATTATAACGTCATTTTGAAATTATCCAAATTTTCTTTCTAGACACACAGAGTCGGAACATGTGAGTAATTTGGACCAGAATTACTATTATTTTTTTTTGTATTCAATAACATAATGGGGTTCTTTATGATAAGGGGCTTCCAATAAATATCCAGCACGCATTTGTGTGATTATAAGACTGCAAATGCAGTAAATATCAACGGCTTAACATGGTATCCGCTACAGTCGCAACTAACAATTTGTGCCGTCACTAGGTTTGCTTAATTTTCGGTCACCCATCTATTGACTAGCCATTGGAAAGGTTGCTGAACTTTCGCAATCGCAAACCAAACTTACTAGCCTACCATGAAACGTCTGGACTCACATTTCATAGATCCATCAAGTAAGATAAATAAGTAGTATGCCGTTAGAGCTCCTTTCATAAATAAATTAACGTGAAACATAATTAACATTACAATTCAGTTGTGTTTAAACGTTGAAGTATAATGGTACTTTACCGTTTCCGACTCGTCGGTCACATTTGTGACAAAAAGGAACGGTACTGATTTGGTCGTACGTAACTTTGTAGTCAGTGATGGAATTGAAAAGGTGTAAAAGAGTCTTTCATCCGTTTATTTTAAGTAAAAGTTTAGTTGAAATGTATAGTTAGATATCTACTCAAAAAAATCGAATGGTTTAGAATATTTTAGTGTCATAATTAACTTGAAGTAATTGTTAGATAGGCTCGAAATATGTGCCAACAGTGTTCGATGGGCTGTTTCTGTGCATCGCCTTCCATAAATAAGGAAATCGAAGGGTTTTATTCGGTATGCTTCTGTACTTTGACTAGTACAGAAGCATATCCGTATGGAAAAGCCCTATATAACCTCGCAGACCCACGCTGGGAAGTGGGGTATGAAACAATGCATTTTTAGTCATAAAAAAATACTATCAGTTCTTAATAATTTGTTCTATTCTTAATAATAGTTGAATTTTAAATAGAACTTGAGTTGAACAAGTTTTGTTGTTGCCACGAACCCGATGTGTTCTAATCACCACCAATACACCAAATCGAATAACATGAAACGGCACTGCTTACCGTCCTTTTCTGGATGCGATTCGGGCTATTTCCGACCCCCTTGTAACTTCGTAGTGGAAAAAACTAGTTGCCTAAATTAATCACGAAGGCTTAGTAGACTTGAGTAGATGCCTTGTTGTATATACGTACTGTGTGGGAAGCTGCCAACAAGAACAATACTCAATATCCCACGGATGGCCTTGGGGCTTACTACTATAGAACATTTAGCTAATTCTTATCTATTCAAAACATTTGTTCACATATTAAATAAAATAAAGAATTATGCTAGATATAAGTAGTCAAAAAAATCACAAGTCCCCTGAAATATGTATTTTATTCTATTTTTTAGTATTCGTTGTTACATCGGCAACAAATATTAATTATCTGTGAAGATTTCGACTGTCTAACTATCACGGTTCATGAGATGCAGCCTGGTGACAGACGGACAGACTGACTGACAGTGGAATCTTAGTAATAGAGTTCCCGTTTTACCCTTTGGATATGATATATCACGATTCATGAGATAAAGCCTGGTGACGGCAAAAAAAATCGTGTTTGTTGTGTGGAAGCCCTCTTAAATATTTATTTTATTCTTTGTTGAAGTGGCAATAGAAATAAATCATATGTGAAAATTTCAACTATTAAACTTTCACGGTTTACGAGATACAGCCTGGTAACAGACGGACAGACAGATAGAGAAGTTTTAGTAATAGGGTTCCCGTTTTATTCTTCGGGTACGGAATCCAATAAATTAACTGTCTCAAATACTTAGGACAAGTTCGAAACCCAGGATCATTAACTAATGAGATGACTTCTCAATACGGTAATGATTATATTTTATAGGCGTAAAACATGGATTCTTTAAGACACTACTATTGCCCGTGACTTCGCCCGCATAAATTATAACCTGTATAATGATAAATTATCACCCACGTCTGATGTAGTTACACGTAGATTGCTGTTCCGTAATATACGTGATCGGTTTACTATTTCCGAACATTACCCCAACAAATCTTATTATGAAAAAAAATCTAGCGCCGGCAGATAGCGAATTGAAAATGGCATCTCATTTTTCACGGTTCCGTAGTAAACAAGGAACCCTTATTTTGCCATGTCCGTCTGTCCGTCCGTCCGTCGTTCCGCGGTTTAACCCAAAAACTATCGGTACTAGAACGTTGTAATTTGACATGAGTCTACAAGTTAATTACGCCGACAAAGCGGTAAAGTAAAATTTCGAAACAAAATTTTTGAGAGTTTTTGTCTTCACCATAGTATGTAGCATCAAAAATCAAAAAAAGTCAAAATTCAAAATAATCTTTATTCAAATAGACTTCTTAAAAGTACTTTTGAATCGTCCAACATTTTTTCCCTACCACTCGTTCAGGACGTCTTTTGGCTGATAAGAAGAACGAGCAAGAAACTCACCAGCTCTAATAAGAGTAATGACATTTACAAAAATCATGTCATAACCAGATCAATACATTATAAACAGAGATAGAAAAAAAAACTATGGTCTTATAATGATAACATAATCATTTAATAATAATGGAAACAAGATAATGAGTTTAGAAGTAATCACCTATCCAGTTGCTGGATCATCTCAAATCCAAGCGTTCTTATCTGTTATATAATCGGATACCTTATAATAAGCTTTTTTAATAAGTATTTTTTTAATAGTAGATTTAAACTGCATGATATCTAATTGTTGTATTTTGCTTGGGACCTTATTGTAGAAGCGCACACAAAGACCCTTGAATGAGTTATTAACTTTTTGCAGTCTAGTGATAGGCACCGTTAATTTATTTTTATTTCTTGTATTAAAATTGTGTACATCATTTTTTATAGAAAACAAACAAATATTTTTACGAACGTACATTAAGTTTTCGTATATTTATTGAGAAGCAACAGTCATAATGTCTATTTCCTTAAATTTCTCCCTTAAAGAGTCCCTAATCCTAAGATTATAAATTGTACGAATTGCTCTTTTCTGAAGCACAAAAATTGTTTGTATGTCGTCGTTGGATAAGTCTTTCAAAAATATTGAGGTTATGAGAAGACCGTTTGTTCGATTTGGTAAGCCGTTTGTGACTTTATAAGCTTTAAAGTTTTTCAAAAACTTCGAATATCATTGACATTACCACATAGATTATAAATTCTATAGATTTCGTTTGATTCTTTGATTGTATAATAAGTCGTAAGTCTCTCGGATCACAGAGGTCATCTTTTACAAAATACTGTATAAAATTTGTCAGATCTCGAAACGTATTATCTATGGAACTAATCAGAGTCTCTTTATATAGGAATTTAGTCACGTTGACAAAAAGTATCGAGTTACATGAATATTTAGCAAGTCGTAAATCTACTGTAACGTACACGGAGGTCCATGCCCATTTTTGTATACCTACAATTTGTTCGCTTTTATTAAAATAATCATTAAATGTTAATAAATACTTATATAAAAAAATATAAACTCTTATAATTAAATACGATAAAAAAATATTTATTAAAAATACTTAAACGTAAAAAATAAGTTATTTTGTTTAATACTCAATGGCGTATTATTTTTATAAAAAGATAACTTATATACCATAGCATTTAAACTTTCTATTAATTCAATAAAAAAGATTACAACTATTTTCATTAAATTTAATACTTACCCAAGTAATAATAATAAATTAAGATCATACGAACATAATAAATAAAAATCTTTATTTTCGCAAGTTTTATTTTGCGTGACCATTACTTTTTATGTTGACATGCTAGCAATCGGCATGAATTTTTATTATAGATGTGGGTTTTAAAATATTATATTTTTAACTGTCACCAAACAAGCGTGCAGTTCGTAGCGAGAGTAACTATAGTTAATGTTGTGAAAAATACATATATTTCTGTATAATATGCCTACAACTTGCCTTTACAATATTATATTGTAATGGAAATAACTTCATAGTCTAACTCAGCAAGAGTTAAAATAGCAGCCCTTGTTGAGTTTCTTGGTGGTTTTTCTAAGTACAAGGTAGACTTGCCGACCGATAGCATAATTTCCCACTTCTAAAAATTATAAAAATAAATGTCATTAAATTTATATTTTTTAATATTTACTTTAAAATCTATTTTAATTCAATATATCTTATCATATTTTACCAATTTTGCATTAAAAATGTTATACTGAAAAATATTATAAAGTAATTTTCATTAAGAATATCAATTTATCTATAAATGAAAAAACTTTTAAACGGTTTCATTGCGTTTGTATTTAGTTTAAAAGTTGTTTCAATTATGAATAATGCGCGTGATAATATAAGAAATATAAAAATCTATATCTTTCTTTTCAATTCAAATACACTTACTCTGAGAAGGCTTTATTCGAATGTGTATAATTAAAATACTTGTAATAGATGACTTTAACAATCAAAACGAAGTGGCGATTTATTTAACAGATATAAAAAAAGCATTTGAATATTAAATCTATTGATGTGCGTAAAATGTTCTCTTGTTATTAACGTAAATAATTTGAATTTATACGGTGCGTTTGTGAAGTGACCTAAAAGTTTGACCAAATGTAGGTGATCGGTAGAAAGTGAACGTGCAGCTGTACCTTATTGGATAAAAGTACACAAAGTAATAACACTAGAAGCCAATAGCAATGATTATGATTAGGCTTTCACATCAATTTTATCGTTATGCCGCCAACTTTAAAGTCCCAGCACTAAAACTAAAACTTAACTAGGGATAAACATACTCTAATAGTTAAATAAGAAACTCATTTATAATATACTCATTTAAATATAATTATTTTCAAACGATAGCCGTAATAGTAACTTATCCCTTTCCCTGACTCAGGGAATATGCTTACTCACTATTCCTGCCTCCTAACGCGATGGAAGGGGGAGTGTGGGATTCTTCCGCGCTAACGGACCTACCAGTCGGCCAGGTTAAAGGGCAGGGGCCTACACACTATAAGCCCTGGGCATACCCTCGATTAGCAGTGGTAGCCGGGAACCTGAACGTAATCGCCGGGCCACCCATTCATTGTGTAGCGGGACCTCTCTGTTCCCCACTAATCTAAGTGCGAGTAAGCCTCTGCCCAGTGGAGTGGAACAGTGAAATGCGCATCGTTATCAGCCACCCGTGCTAACTCCCACAGAGTCCCTGCCATACAATCCCTGCCTCCTGTAACGATATTTCTGTTCTATGATAGTAATTTATCCTAACTCAAGGTAGCGTTGTAATGAGGTGAGCAGGGTTAAATAGTAGTAAATAAATATAAGATAGTATCACGTACATTCTTCAGATGTCAAATTAGGTAGCTAAAACATTTGCATTCTGTAAATCTGAAACATAATAACACAACACCCAAACCCGGGATAATATAGAAAAGATGATTTTCCATATATTTATTTTTTCAATTCAATCATTTATACCTCGGTTTTTACAATTAACATACCAATTCAGCTGCCTGAAGCCTCGCAATGGTGGTCGCCACTGCCAAAGAATCTTTCATTACTTACATAGCTGATGGATGCAACGGCTTAGGTGTTTTGTGAATGAAAAAAAAATATTGAGAGAAGGATTGGAGCATGTGCCAGTATATTGGATTTTGTATAATATATGTAGCAAGCTCTTTAAAAAAAGTCGAATATTTAGTTGGCATCATTAACTGCTGTTTGTTAATAGAGGATGATAATAAATCTAAATAGTTTTTTGCAAATCTATGTAAATTTTCTAGCTTGTTTACTCATATGACCAAACTAACCAATAGCAAAAACAAAACTATCCAATAAAATTTTCTGTGGTATATAAACAGACAAATGTGGTTATGCAAAAAAATTTGACATTCACGCAATAGAGGAGACTAGAAGATACGATATGATTCTGCTAAAATTATTATGAAAAAGTAACATTGATCATTTGTAAAAAAATATTATTATAAGTTTTAGTAACAGAAGAAGATAAATAAAATTAGAACCGTGACGGAACCCTGAGGTACACAAATATTGTAATTACATATTTATTATCATGATGACATAATCGGTATCCAATCTAAATTGGTTCTAGACTGTAGGTAATGCGTATTATATAATGTGAATGTCAGAACAAATAAACACTTGTCTAGCCTTAGTTATGTAAAGGCAGACACCGTCATCTGATACTCTAGTAAAAAAATCGGTAATTTTAGCACATGTATTGGTTGCAGCAAAAAAAAACTGTATTGGTGATTGCGTACAGTTGTAACTTTTTAGGACTCATTGCTGAAGACTATAATCTTCATTATACTTTGTTAATTTGTGCTATTACCACTATACGACTTACCGCATATCGATAGTAACAAACATCAAGTAGTCACCAAAATTAATTTTTCCGGTCCCATTTGCAGTCGGTAACACTCACCAATACGAAGTGTGTGAAAGTGAGTTATGACCCGTTTTCCCATCTGACTCCATCCATAAAGACCTCTGGCCCATCAAACATGTATACCGTTGCTTTATAATAATGTTACAATTCTTAATAATATTTAACAGACATGTTTTCTAACGATGATTATTGTTTTTTATACAGCGCGAGCGAGCGAGCCACGCGTGGTATGCTATTACACCAACTGGTCGGTGTACCGGCCGGGTACCGCACGATTCAACCCACAAAATATCAACCCCTATCTGTGCACCCATCTGATCTACGCCTTCGGAGGTTTTACCAAAGACAACACGCTCAAACCTTTCGACAAATACCAAGACATCGAAAAAGGTTAGTTAATAGCTTATAGTCAATGCAAGTGACATCATAGTTCATTGATACCATGCAAATTAGAAGGTAGAAGCAATATGATGCTATACCAACACGAGATCTCACTTTGTTTTGATTAGATCATAAATGAAACTATAAATGAACTCTATAAATGAAAATCATTAACGGGCTGAATCAGAAGAATTTTATTTCCCAATATTTGTAAAGGCCAAGGTTATATTGGTCAGAGCCACTCACAGAATTTTAGGAAATTCCGAGCCTTTAAAATTTTGGTAGTCAATCGCAAAATATACTATAGGTATATCATATATCACTCGAATACATAACGAGATATGATCGATTATTGTGATATAATTAATAATATAATAAAAGTGATTTATTATTAATTTATTTATTGTTCGATAATACAGATAAAGCATTGGAACGTTTTCTTGTGGTGTTTGGTATAAAACCACGTCGTAAGAATTAACTTTTCTGAGAGTCCAACATTGTAACAAAGCTTTAAGCTTATCCCACCGTAGATCTCATTTATGTCCTTGGGATAGTTTGAGGTCAACAGTCTGACAGAGAGAAAATGCTTTTTTCAATTATTTCAACTATCATTAGCCAATTGAAATGACCCTTGAAACCCTTTTAGTAATTACGAGGGTCAAACTGAAAGTTCTTAGAAAATCAAAAACTGATTACATTAGCCAGTTATTAGTTTTATTATATCTTTTCAAAATATTGTCCATTCACGTCAATACACCGCTGCATGCGATGGAACCACTGGGAAAAGCACTTTGCCCACTCGTCCTTAGGGGTCTCTTCAATGGCATCGCGATACGCAGCCACCGCTTCTTCAGCATTCATAAACCGCTTTCCTTTAAGTTTTTCTTTAATTTTTGGAAATAAATAAAAATCACAAGGCGCGAGGTCGGGGCTATACGGCGGGTGACCCAGTAATTCAACGTTTGATGTCGCCAAATAGTCGATCGTTCGCTTGGCGGTGTGCGACGAGGCGTTGTCGTGGTGAAGGAGGATCCTACTGCGAGGTCGTTTCTCTCGAACTTTTTCCAAGACAAGTGGCAAACAATTGGTAGTGTACCATTCTGCAGAAACTGTTTTTTGATCCTCTAACACAATTGTTGCAAAATGACCTATCCTTCCAAAGAACGAGGCCACCATTTTTTTTCCCGCACTTCGATCTCTCTTCACTTTAGTTGGCAACTCCTCGAAAGGAAACACCCACTGAGCAGATTGACTTTTGGTTTTAGGATCATAACAGTAAATCCAGCTTTCGTCACCTGTTAGTATGTCGAACACAGCATTTGAGTCACCTCCGTTAAATCTTTCAATCATTTTACGACACCAATCCACACGATGGAGTTTTTGAGCCTCAGTCAAATTATGAGGTATCCACCGGGCGCAAAGCTTCCTGACCGCTAAATGTTCGTGGAGGATTTTGTGCACTTGACTCATACCGATGCCTAAGCTTGTCCGAATCTGTTGATAGGTCACTCTTTTGTCAGTCTCTATCATACGCCGCACAACACAGATGTTATCTTCAGTCGTCGCCGTAGAAGGCCGTCCCTCACGTAAATCATCAGTGAGATTAGTGCGACCACGTTTAAACTCATTAAACCAGTTGTAAACAGTCGCACGAGATGGGGCTTCATCGTGAAAGGCCAATCGTAGTCTATCATAACTTTCTTGTTGACTTAAATGACATCGAAAGTCATAAAAAATCATTGCACGAAAATTTTCTCGTGTTAAATTCATGATGACGTGACACAGACAATTTTCAATTTGCCGCCAAATCGTAAAACAAATGACAAATGAATGAAATATATACTCAGTAATATTGGCAAAGAGTTATATTTTCAAATTTTAGAATTATTTTTTTATTATATTGTTTATAAGTGGCCAGTTCTAAGAACTTTCAGTTTGACCCTCGTATGTAGCATAGTAAAATAATTGGCTATGTCGTGTTCTTTTCAAAAAATTCTTAACATCTTCTATGTTATATCTAGGTGGATATGCTAAGTTCACCGGTCTTAAGACTTACAACAAGAACTTAAAGACCATGCTGGCGATCGGAGGATGGAATGAAGGTTCTACCAGGTTCTCACCGATGGTGGCAGCAAAGGACAGAAGAAAAGAATTTGTCAGGAATGCGATCAAGGTAACAATTATATACCTCCTGACATATCTATGTGATGATATTCTGAGGCCCGGGATTCTATTCTCAGCAAAGAAGCAAAATTCTAGATTAGGTAGTTTTCGGTGTGGAAGACTACCTAATCGTCATAGGTATCTTCATTAACTTCCTATTTCTAAAACAAAAAAAAAATACGCTACTTGAATAGTCGAACCAATGAGCAATGAAAATATTTTGTAATAAAATTCATCGTTCTTTTTAAAGTTCAATAAAATAAAACTTTTGTTACCTTTTGAAGTAGGTTATAATTGATTGAACCTCTATACTGTAATAGCGCTGTTGATTTAATTACAGAATAACACTGTTGTTCTGAACAAGTCTAGTTTAGCTCAAGTGAAGAAGTTAATTTGCTCATAACACATTACACCTAGGTATAGATTAATTAGTGTGGAGTGAAAGCGGGTGCTTTCCTACTCGATACGACATGTGCTTAGAAACTTGACTACTTAAAGCTTAATGGATTAATATATCATAACAACATCATCATATGACTTGCAATTTATAATACGGAAAATTGTGAACTCTATCAGTGTTATTAATAAACAAGGATTAGTGTTGGAATAAATTTACGCTGAGACTGCACTTAGTATCAGTCAAAATTCATATTATTAAACAGAGACTAAACAAAGGTTAACCTATTAGGAGTTTCTACGGTAGTATTATTTACTCCTAGAAGGTAGTAGGTTTGATTTTTCTTTGTATAATATGAATTTGAACTAATACTAAGATTGCAATTTTACCGTAATTTTACTCTGACACCAAACCTTGTTTATTAATAGCACTGTATACTTATACATTTTTAACAAGTCAGACAATGACACAAAGAGGATTTTTTCCATCTCAATCCTCCCATACAAGGTACTTACATATTTATCAAGATCCTCTGTGGTAAAATATATATTTAAGTAATTTTAAGTTAAGTCGCCTCTCAAATCTCCAATCAAAAAGTCAAAAAAGTCAAAATAATCTTTATTCAAATAGACTTCTTAAAAGTACTTTTGAATCGTCCAACATTTTTTTATACAATCAAGGACAATATCATACATCGTCATAATATAGGGAACTATTTTGCATAAAATTACATAATAGCGAAATCCGTTATTTCATTGAACCAATCTTTCGCTCTTTATATGATTATGTTTATAAATTTCTGAGAAGGACGTCCTATTTTATGATATCTATCACCAACTTTTGCCATTGCTCTACTTTTGCTTGAAGGAATATTTTTCACTCAGTTCCTCAGGCAAAATCATTTTGACGGATTGGACTTGGACTGGGAGTATCCAGCGTTCCGAGACGGCGGGAAACCTAAAGACCGCGAGAACTACTCTAAACTGGTGAAGGAGCTGCGCGAAGAGTTCGAGAGGGAATCTGAGAAGACCGGGAAACCACGTCTGCTTCTGACCATGGCCGTTCCAGCAGGCATCGAGTATATACAGAAAGGTTTTGACGTGCGGACACTTAATCAGTGAGTTATATCTGATATTAGTTTAATTAATTAAATAAAAATATTTATTTTGATTACAGAAAATAATATAGGAAGTTCTTAATTTTTATTCAACTCTTTTGTGTACTAAATAATTTCACTTAAAATATCTTATAAATAAATAATTATCTTTAAAATAAGGCGCGATGGCAATTGCTATCACATGTCAAATAGTTGTAGCGTGAAATTCATGTATATCTTTCAAATTGAAAGGGTGACATTTGTGCAGTTTTTTGGAGCAGTGCCTCCACTTATTTAGACCGGATTTCATTTGATTAAAAACTTTTCTAACCAATTAACAACTGCACCGTTGAGCTTTGATTTTACTGTTTTAAAAACAATGGACCTTAGTTATTTTAGTTTGTATTTTTATCCAACATTATGCTATAGTAAACCAACAGAATTAAAAATAAGCGATAAATCATATAAACAAAATGGCGGGCATTATATTAGTTCTCGTTTTCGTAAGTCTTATAAAACAGATGACAACTCTATGACACAAACATAATGTGCGAGCCGCCACTGTTCAAATATAATCACTATACATGTGAGCGGGTTTCTTAACATCTTTACGCATGCATGTAGTGTCATTAGCGTTCGTAGGTTAACCAATTATCTAATTCAATGTCGAGTTACCCAATTTTTTGTGTGGTACAACTTAATGGCGTAAGCGATTTCATTTTCTGTTTAACACCATGGTTGTGTTTGTTCGAACAATATTTAATGCTTAGATTTCATGGCGAGAATTTTGTTGAAATTCGCTGTTACGCAAATGGTATTCCATTGTTAATTTAAAATACTACTATCGTATGGTGACTGCAGAACTTTGGACCGGTGAAGATTATTTGTTAATAAGCTTGTTCCACTTAGATCTACAGCTACAAATCTTCAGGATCGTTTAAAAAAGAGTTTCACAACATTAAAAATAATTTTTGATAATGTTTGATAAAACTTCTTTTCTCAGTAATAAATTATATTCATTGTTATTATTAAATAATTTTTATTATACATAAATAATTTTTACTTGTGATTTGTGAGGCTGCGCGTGAAACTAACTTGTGGGCTGTATAAAAAAAGCTCTGACAAATATAGGTGATATACAAACTGCTCCTGATGGTTACTACTAATAGTGGAACTCCTAGAAAGTACCTACTCTGATGAAGTCGGATTCCTCCAGCCTACCGACTTATATACATATGTATTAGTTATATTTTTGTATTTTATTTTTGCATAAAAAAGACAGATCCTGCGCTTATTTTAATGTACGTATATGAGTCCTGGCTCCAGCTTATCTATTTTTAACTTAAAGTTAAGAAGAAATTACCTACTCAGACAATACGGATCAAAGTGGACGATTTCACAAAAAATATCCGTAATTAATATTTTTCAGTAATTTAATTCTGAATCCTGTTGCTATAGCAGTGATTTGTTTTGTAATCTGTCTTATAATAATAAATTAAGCCAAAGCTTAATTTAATTGCCGATTTTCAAGATTATGTTATAGAATTAATTGACTCATAAAAATGCAAATCTTTGCCGAGAAAGATGCTATACTTCAGTGATCGGTGTGCGTAGCGTGACTCGATGTTAACTCATGAGATGGAGTGCAATTATATGTTCAGTGTATTTGTAGGTCACTGAGGCAGTGTAATACAATACTTATAATTACAAATGATCCAATTATAGTTATATCTGATACACTTGCAAGCTTACAGATCATATGTCTTGTTTGTTACATGAAGTTATACAAAATATCAAGATTAATAAGTAATGTCCAATTAGAATTCGATCTAGCTTAAAAACAAAAATAATATGTCAATATTTTATATCGATTTTAATAGTTTTACAATATTTCTTATTGCAATATTAGGCGTGTCCTCTGGTTTTGCTATTCTGTAATACTGGAACTCGACATCGAATAAAACGCCATTACAGAACGGTGGTTGAACGAAATAAGACTTTATTATCGATTGATGTATTTGATTGAACCTCTATTCTGTGACAACGACGTGCTTGAAGTCCAGTTCAACGCTGATTTTTGTTACAAAAAGTACTACAGAGGGCTTAGTGTATGTTTTTTAACTTTCACGTTCACCTTCGATCGAGAGCGCGTCAAGATTAAGTATGGAATCCGGTACAGCGCCCCTAGCGGTGACTGTTAAGAACTACAAATTTCCATACGGATTCTTAACGCGGTCTCTAGTGAAAGTCTCAAAATCACAAAATATTCCAAGTCGTCTAGACAAAACAGTTTGGAGACGTTGTTCTAGATAAGATCAACAGTGTGCCATTTTTATAATGAAGTTGAATATTTAATTTTTATTAGTACCCTTCTTGTGACTTCAAAATCACACTCAATGACTCATAAGTTTAAGTAACTTCCAAATAATATAAGTCAACGCATACGATAACGTATACCATAGTATGTAGACCATTGATTGCGTCTTGTCGCAACGATCAGCTGATTTGCATGCGCTGTGGGACAACCACAATGGCTGCCGGTGCATAAACGGTGCCGACTAGACGATGTAGGGAGACCACATAATTATTTAAGTAGGATTTCATGAAATCAAAAATTTATAGACTCGATGATTTTAATCAAGTTAGTAATGAAATAGCCGAATTTTCTAAGCAATACATTTTCAAATATTGCAATTCTTTCATTTTAGTAAAAGATTGACGCCATGTCAATAATAAAAATAGTCAATAAAAATTTTATTAAGCTTAATTCTGTATTTCTCAAGAATATGTTATAAGCGTAAAGTTTTATTAATATTAATCCTACTAATATTCTAAATGTGTGTTTATTACTCTTTCACGGAAATTGCTAAACGGATTTTGACGAAACTTGGTATACTAATAATTCCATGTCTGAATTACGATAGGTATTACTTATAACTAGAATAATATAACGGTTCTCTAGCGATAATTGTGCTGTCAAGACATCGTGTAAACTGCGGTTGTAGCCGCATTTTCTATTTGTATTCTATATTTCACTCACGCTAATGATTTCTTTAAGCGTTTCATAAAAATTTAAGATAAGTAATTAAGTAATATAATTATCTGGTTAAATTGCAAATAAATTAATAAATCCTAAATAGATGACGACAAAATACGAATAGTTCAAACTAAATGATATCTAACGACCCTTTAACTACCGGTCAATATTCTACGCGCGATCTATTGTGGCCCTTTCGCAAGACATACAATGATTTACATGCAAAGTGGAACAATAGTGCACATCAAATGCAACGGATTCCTTTGTGTATTCATTGTCAGCTGTGGCCATTGTATTGTGGGTCTTAAGTAGAGGAATATTTATAATTACCGTACCAGTACAATAGCTAAAATAGTTGAAGATGTTGTAACCGCCAGCGTAATGTTAGGAGTTAAGTTTAAATTTAAGTTTAAGGAAAAACATGTTTTAATTTGGTATAATCATCCCATTCACAATGTTACAATGATGTTCGTCTGATCCAAAAAAAAATAGCTGGGGTAGTTGATTTTTCTTATGTCTTTTATATCAGAACGATATATTTTGTAGAAAGAACTATAATGTGTTCTACATTGTAACACAAAAAGCTATTAAGATAAACAATATCAGATTAAATTACTCTTAGTATCTATAATATGCTAATTTCAATTGCAGATGACTAATTATCACGGTATGATCTGTTACTTTAGTAACCCAAAATAAATGGACTAGTTTTGAAGAGTTCAACTTAGAACAGAGTTAGTAACTTTGTATAATAAAAAAATAAATAAAAAAATGAAGAGAACTAAATTACCTTTTCACTATGGGAACAATTACCTTAGACTCGTCCCGTGTGTCATGGAAATGTACCGTGTGTCCCGTGTGTAATGTATCCATGCGTGGTTTGGTGACATGCGACGCAAGCTAAATATAATTCTAACTTTAGCCGTTTATTACTGAAATAGTCCTCGGATTCCATTAAATATGGTCACTTCTACATCTCCGAACAGATGTTTCAATTCGGCCGCATCTCACTCAACGCTCTGTTTACTATAACCGAGTCTTTGTTTTAGAGCCCACATGCATCGAAATAATTTCGTAATAATTAAGTAACAACGTTATTTGTGTCTTAATAGATTAAATTACTCGTATCGCTACTCTGTTATGAGTAATTTTTATAATATCCAATTCTTAGCCACAACCCGCGAAATTATAGTATTGCATATAACGTTGGTAACTCTCAATTAAATTTTATAATGTGGTTTTAACAGGTTTCTAGGGTCTCGTGCCTTACAATAAAAAAAAGGATAGGATCATTCACATGTCTGCCTATCTATTCGCCTATCGACTGTGTCAAAATTTTATAAACATTTTAGTATCCGATTCCATTTGTTTTGTCAAACTGATTTTAATATTTATTATAAGTGTAATTAAAATCTAAATCGATCATCGACGTTACCATGTCATAGCCATAATATCGTGCACTCGAGTGTAGGTACTCCGTTACTGTTCCTATATCAATGCCGCATATCATTATGTAATTAAATAATTTGTAATCCTTGACCTTCTCTTGGCATTCGGTTTAATAGTTTTCAAATAGACATTTTTAGGTTAATATATAATCTGCCTACATGTAAATACACTTATTAAATATTGTAACCCGCGGTATTTTGTTCGGATTATGTCATCCCACTTGAAGAATTTTTACAAGATTTATTAAAATGTATTAATGTTAAGTAATATAAATAAAATAACCAACCCACACAACTTGTTTAACTAAAAGCTGATAGTTCAGTGACTAAACAACTTTTTATAAATTATTATATCTTTTAGAATTACCGATCCAACCCGAATTAAGACTTTCAAAACCACATGGATATCGCTAACGTGGTTTATAAGGAGTATAATGTAATTTAAACCTATTACAGTCTGATTTTTAGTACTCAAGAGGTTAAAAATAGCGGGCCTTATTTGGTGACAGTACCTTAGTAAGTCGCTGGTATGTTTATGTAAGAACTACACAAGTGTCTAACATTTCTTATCGAATAAGCAGAGAGAGAATTCTCTCTGACGACAGCGGCAACAGCATGAGCAATCAAAGGCCTAAATTGAATTGCCGCTTTAAAATCTTTTATTTTCGAAAAATAATTAAAAATAAGAAAACCCTTCGAATGCATTTAAACCTTGTTGCTTTTGTCTATAGGTATTTGGACTGGATGAACCTTTTGACGTATGACTACCACTCCGCGTTCGAGCCTGCAGTGAACCATCATGCGCCTTTATATCCTCTAGAAGAACCCAACGAATACAGCGTAGACACCGAGCTTAATATCGTAAGTGTACAGAGATTTAGTATGAAAACTGACATTCAGTTGTTTATTAATGCTGATGAACTTTTACGCAAATGGAATTGCAATAAAGGGTTAATTAGATTTATATAATTTTAAACCTTAATCATGGATTTATTCGTCAGGTGACATGAATGAGATCAAATGTGAGACGAGTTTGCCCAGAAGGAACTTATTCACTCTTGCTTCAATAGGTATTTGTTATACGCACTTGGGAATACCTATAGACGCTGACAGTGAGTTCCACTCCTTGACAGTGCACAGTAAAAAAGATAATAAATAGCGCTTTGTGCGGCATCTTGGAATATTTACCAAATGAGGATGTTATCACGCCGTACGTCTAGAGTAGTACATCTTATAAAAGACAGACATGCAGGCAACATTTCGCCGATGGGCCAAGCTATGCAGCTTTGATTCAACATACTTTTGGTCGCCGATCAGTCTCTTGGCTCTGCGTTCCACTGAGTCTAGTGCGACAAACTGATGCTTAGCCGAGCCATCTTATATGTACACGACTGGACTTGCACTTTATATAGAGTCAAAAGCTGTACCGGTGTAAAGTACCATTGAACCTTGTTCAAGATGCCGAAATTTTACGCTTATATAGATCGAATGTACCCTCCTAATCATCAGACTAAATTATGTAATGTTGTATATAAGTTTGAAGATACATAACTTACAACATTCCCAGAAATAAGTTGATTAATATAGTCTGATAAATAAGAGAGTATATTTGGTTTATAAACATCTTTCATTGGAGATACACTTTAAGAAAGACATGAATATCTCCAGATGTCGCTTCGTTTGACTTCTTGTATAAGACACTCAAAACAATAAATGTCATGAAATTAAAAGAAATCAGATTAATGTTAAACAGCATATCTATGTAAATACTCATTTTCTCATTCCAGGATTACACCATCAAGTTTTATTTAGAGAATGGTGCGGAACGAGACAAGTTAGTACTGGGCATCCCCACTTACGGCAGGTCGTACACGCTGTTCAATCCTGACGCAGTCGAGATAGGCTCCCCCGCAGATGGCCCAGGAGAGCAAGGAGACGCCACCAGGGAGAAGGGATATCTCGCTTACTATGAGGTAACGCTCATAATATATTTTATGTTTATACCTGTCACTTCAAAATTATAATCATCGTTTATAATATATAATCTAACTTAAATCAATTATAGTTTTTAATTTGATGTAACATAACAAAACTTGAAATTCTATTATGACATATGGAAAGTAACTTAAAAAATAGATTATCTGAATATTTATCTCTCACTAAGAGCAAGAGTAACTAATACGAGAAATGCAAGTGTCGTACTGAGGGATGGGGTAGCTTTATCGATTACAACAGTTACTTGACTGTCTTTTCTAAATATTGTTCTGTGTTACACGTGTATGCTTTATGATTTCTCAACTATTTATTGTCGTATATAAAATTTTCTTGATTGGTCCAGTCAAATAATATTTCATCTCGGAGTGAAAGAAAACATGGAATCTTGTGAGGAACATTGTTTGTAAAGTCTCATAAAATCTATAAACTTCATAGGGTTTCTGTTTTAAACTAATACTATAATCATTAATCTCCAGATTTGTGAAGCTCTAAAACCCAAGACAAAAAAGCGGAACGTGGACGACGACGATTCTGATGAAGACTCCGATGAAGAGGAAGAGGAAGAGGAATGGACGGTGATGTACCCGAATCCCAAGGCCATGGGTCCTGTGGCGTTCAGGGGCAACCAATGGGTCGGTTACGATGACGTCGACATCGTCAAAAGGAAGGCGGAATACGTCGCGGAGAACGGGCTCGGAGGTCAGTTGCGGCTTAGTTTACTAATGAGATAGTCTAAATTGTTTTTATTACTTTATTCGGGATGTCACGATTGAATTCAGCAGGATACCAGTGCAAAATGAGCTGGGTTCAATGTTGGCATCACATTGCATACGCAATAGCGTAAACGTTGACTAATTAGTCAACATTTGACAAATGTCGTTAATTGCGGCCGACATTTGTTAGGGATGACAAATGTCGGCCGCAATTAACGCCTTCATAGCTATTACAGAAAAAGTTAAATCTAAAAATCGAAGTAACCCATATCTATAGATAAGTACTAGATATCTATCTATATTGAGAAATTGCTATGTCGTAATTTGAATCTCCTAAGTTTGTAATTTTGTTTAGGTATCATGTTCTGGTCGATCGACAATGACGATTTCCGCGGAAACTGTCATGACAAACCCTACCCTCTCATCGAGGCCGCCAAGGAGGCGTACATCGCTAGACTGGGGTAAGAATCATTAATGGAGTACACTATAAAACGATAATTACTTATTCAGGATATGCAGATTAATCATAAGCAAGGTGGGTCTTTGAATTATACTACTAGGACATTTTAAGTCCAGATTTTAGGTCCTGGTTCCTAGGTACTAGAGTACAGATAGAGCACCCTTAGTAGAGTTAACATTATACCCCAAACCTCTTGCAATGCTCGAGCGAATCCGGCAATAATAGTCAACATGTAAAAATTCTTCAGGATTGGTTCTTTTCATGATTGGCAACCCTAGTATAGTATAGAAAACGGACCATAATCCACAATAACCTCATAGTCAACTAAGTAATTATTCAATTGGACTTCTCATATGAAATAAAAAAAGGGAGAAAAAAGCTGTCCTTGCTGAGTTTTTGCCGATTGTTCTCAGTACAAGGGTTCCAGCTGTAGATTTACAAACTGATGACATAGTTTTTGGTATTCACAATCTCAGACTGAATAACGAACATCTAATTTTAATTTAAAATTTTGACTGCAGATTTAATCAATATTTTTTTTAGATATAGTTATTTTTTTTGATAACATTGACCAACCTCCTTGGTAGTTGCTTTACCTAATCTCGGCGACGACAGACTCCACCGTCATTTCAGTAATATTATAAATTTTTCAATGTATTTTTATGCTGTAGTGCTACGGACAACGCTATTGAGAAAGTGGCGCCATCTACTCGCAACTCCGCCAGGAGACGAAATCGACCCAGGGCTTCCACCACAACCACCACCACGACTACCACTGCGAAACCTGCCATCATATCCAGGTAAATTAAACTAGCACTGCACATTAGTGTCCGACTTTAACTGTTTTTTTCTAACCGAAACCGAATTTTGGCAACGGTCTCAGTTCCGGCCGTAACCGAAACCGGAACCGAAACTTCTTTACAAAGATCATATTTTGAGGGAAAAATAAAGAAAACTTTGTTATAATCAGTCAGTCTTTATTTTCCTATCTTTAAATCACAAAGCAATTCAGTTTTAGACATTTTCATCAACCCTTTAATTCCCTCATTAAAGGAACAAATTGTGTCTTAAAAGTACTAAAAATAAATGAAGTATTTATTAGAGCACTTAGATGGAATCTATCCATTCAAGTTTTTTTTAAACATTAAGAAGTAAAATTATATGTATATTTGTTATCTAATATCACAATAAGCATTTACGAATTAAGTAATAATCAAATCACAATAATATTTTTATCTTAAAAACAAATTAACGTCTGCTAAACTAAATTCAACATTATGTACAACAAAAATAAAAAAAAAATATGATCAATCACGACACCACAGCATGAGAATGCAGTTTCGGTTTCGGTAGGTTTGCCACTGAAACCGAAACATGTTTTTACCGAAACTCAACCGAAACCAAAACCGAACATCCGGTCGGACACTACTGCACATATTTATTTATTCACAAGTTTGATGAAACATGATGGCCGCTTAGTGGACGGTTCACTGTCACTGGAAAAGGCGGTCAGGTACCCTGAACTTTTGCCTCCACGCGGGATCTCAATGGGGACCTAAAGCTAAGTTGAGTTTGGAGCTTTCCTTGCAAAAACCAGGAACCTTCTCTCTTTATGAGAGGTTTTTTAAAGGATTGAAACATTACCACTTGTGATAATATAAGCCAGCACACCACAATTGTTTACCTATGACTTCACTATAAAAACGATAGCATTATTTTAATTCTTAAACGTTTTCATTGTTCAACAGGAAGAGCAACAAACAAAAGAGTTCAGCGATAACAAGCACAACCCCTGCGTGGAACATCATTACCCCAGAACCGCCCACTACTCCCGACCCTGGAGCAGGTGAGAGAACTTTCTAGTACACATATTAATCATCGTTTTAAAACGATGTTGCAAGAGTATAAACTATCATCATTGGACATATAAACATTCAGTAAATTAAAAAGTATCATACTTAAAAATAAATATATTCTCTATGGATTTGAAATATCGAATAGAATATCATTTATTTGTTAATCCGGCGAACTTTGTATCAATTAAATAATGTGTCGAAATTCTAAATATATTTTTGAACACACATTTTGGAGCCGGTGTAATGTGCTATTAAGCTCGTCGTAATGTCCAATGAACTATTCTACAGTTTTCTTTATCATATTTTTTTCAGACTTCAAGTGTACCGATGAAGGTTTCTTCCCACATCCCCGCGACTGCAAGAAGTACTTCTGGTGTTTAGATTCTGGACCCTCGAACCTTGGTATTGTGGCGCATCAGTTCACATGCCCTTCAGGTAAAGTATCAAAATAAACTAAGACAAAACTACTTTTCTACTACCTATTTTTAATGTGTTTCCTTTAGAGGTTGTTATATTTATTAATTATGACGTCACCCTGTTTTTTACCAGTGTTCAATTAAGACACTTCTCTTAGTTAGTATCTAGCTCAGCATATGTCTGATTGTTTCTCGTCCTAGCCTTACTGATTGTATATAGAATTGTCTTGATGCGAATGTTGTTCTGGTCTTTCTTTGATGAATGACAGTGAAGAGATTACGTTTAGCACTTTTTGCTGGGTCTTTTGGCGTTTTTTTATGTGTCACCAGAATAGTTTGTAAGATATATAATTGGCGAACTGTTAAAATGTTTAAATCCTTGTATAGCTGAGTTGTACTATATAGTCTTTTTTTTTTATGCATTACTTTCAGAATTGTTCTTTGTGCACGTTCCAGATCAATAAATTTTGTTTTGAAAGTTCCTCCCCAAATAGTTATACAATATAGCATAATAGATTGTACAAGTGTTGTATATATATATTTTAGCAAATCCATATCAGAAATATTACGTAAGTATTTAAAGAGCCAGATTAATTTTCTAGATCTATTACATACAGCGTCTATTTGTTGATACCAGGATAGATTTGAATCAATGATAATTCCTAAATATTTTGTGCTGTCTACTTTCTCAATTTTAGGGCAGTTTATAAACAAGGCTAATTTCTTCTCAGGTCTTTTCTTCAACAAGGCAGCAGACTCTTGCGACTTCGCTCGTAACGTGCTCTGTAAGAAACCCAGCGCCACCACCAAAGCGACCACAGCTAAGCCCGCCACCACGACCACCACCACCACCACCACTGCTGCGCCGCGCACCACCAGGAAGCCCATCAAGATCAGCACTAGGAACTCGCTGCTGTTCAGGACTACCACGACAACAACTACTACCACCACTACTCCAGAACCAGAGGTTAATCATTTTCAATGAACCACCGATTCACTGATCACCATTCATCAGAAGCTCTATTTACGAATCATTCGTTTCGCGTCGATCGCTCGTTCTCTACTAATTTTTGTTTGACATTGCAAATTCACCATTTCTATTTCGCTCGACTGCATTGTATGAACCACTCGTCGTTTAGCGAACGCTGTATGCGAGTGATAGAACACTCTTTAAAACATGAAATGAATAAATGACGTTTGTGACCGTTTTATTTATTTACATCAAAAATATTTTCCGTAGAATACGAAGAACACAATTCATTGTTTCCAATCATTGCAGTTGCCCTCCGCAGACGAACGATTGATAATACTAAAAACCGTTGTTATGCGACATAGAAGTTGACCGTGACTTAGGTCGTACGCGGAAAGGAGATTTTAAATAAGTGAATCAAAAATAGAGCTTCTGATTATGAAAGATAAAGAATTTTATATAACATTACGTAGACTTTTCTCAGTCTCCAAACCAAATACCAAGTAAAAATGCTTATGCATATCTGTGACAAAGAAAGTATCTTATCCAATAAGACCTAAAACAATGTAGAGAGTTCATATTCTTTAGTTGTGCCAGAGGAATACTAATACTACTTCACCGGAATTTAGTATAACATTCATGGTTATTTTAATACAACCTTTAGCATTGTATAAGTAAAAATAGTATACAAAATATTTAGACATTCAAGATAAATTAAAATTCTATTTTTGGTTTCACAGAGTGAAGAAGAATACGAGGATGAAGCTCCGGAAGATGCTACCGATATCGAAGCAGAAGACCCCAAGGTTATCAAAGAGCTGATAGATCTCATCAAGAAAGTAGGTTAGTATCTGAGTACAATTGTGTAGGTACAATTCAACATAAAACAGAAGTCATCGATTTTCCCCGATTTGACGTATGATGTGGGTGATACATCTATGACATATATTGTCAATTTTTATCAACAGGTGGCGTGGAGCAGCTAGAGAAGCACTTGCGACTAAATGATAATGCTGCAAGCACAGACGGAGTCATCACTACAACACCGTCATCGTTCAACAAGAAACTCTACCAGAAAGTGCTCGAGAGAACACGGGGAAAGAGCAAGTGAGATTATAAGCCTGATAATAAATAACATTACGATATCCCTGGGGCCAACCTTCACTACTTGGAGAGGCACTTTAATAAGAAAAAGAATCCCTGAGGCCTCATTGTCTAATTTTTAAATTTATCGCAATCCCTTTTGATATTCACGAACTTCACGCTTTAAATATTTAACATATGTCTGTTTTATGAAAGACTCAATGTCATTCATAAAACAGATATGAACAATTCTGTCAACTTGATGTTAATTGGAATAGGCAAATGCAAATATTACTTAAAGTTTAAGTTACTAAGTTTTTATTATAATTCTTCACAATTTTAAACATCACATAATTCATAAAACCACTATACCTTTGAAAAAGATTGCGATAAATTTTAAGATAAGATAATTAGGTCGTTCGGAATCAGTAATTGCAAATCTTAAATAATTAAATTTATTATTTTCAGATTCAGTAATGGTATTACTGATGGTACACCCCAAAATAGTCGCAGAGGGCCACAAAATGCGGGACTGGACGCTACTGCCGATAAAGATATTTTCGTAAAACGGGATAGGCCCCAGTGAGTATCTACAGTTATTTTATGTTGGAAAAAATATTGTACATGAATAAATTATATACAATATGGCGACACACTTATATTAATAAAACTTAATATTTATGCAAGAATCAGTAATGATACTAACGACATATCTGGAGAAATCACCTGGTAATTTGCATGCAATGTAATTTCAATGGATTAGTTATGATTTCATATAAGATAAATACAAACGTAGATATTTAGGCAAAATTTTAATACACGTGTTGCTACAATATCTGAACCTTTTAAAGTTTTTATCTTTAAAAGATTCAGATATTGTATATCAACTTTATCTATATCAACTTTCTAATAAAACTTCTTGCCAAATACATTTTTAGTAGATTAATTAAAAAAAAAAAACGAAAAGAATAGAAATTGAGATTAATCAAACAAAATATTTTTCGAATTATTTTTATTCTAAAAGTATATCATCATCTAGATATACAACGATCAACCGATCTCGACCATCCTCTTCGACGACTGAAGAACCTCTTCTCGACGAAGACGACGAAGAAGAGATCGAAGAACCGTCGCAGTTCCTGTCAAGGGCTCGCGCCGTGGATCCCGAGCCGTCTGTAGCTACCACCGCTAGACCGCTGCAGTATGTTAATATCAGGAGAGCAAGGCCCACCACTATATCTACGTCTGACACTGCTGATGATACCGCATCTAGGTAACTTAGTGAATAAAATATATAAATATTTTGATAGATGTTCAGTAATTAAGATCTTCTTAATATTTAGGAGCTTACTAAATATTCTTCGGTCGGTCATCTGATAACTCGTATCCGAGGCTTGAAAGATACATAGAGTAAATATTTACTACTCCAGTCTATCACTTTCCCTACTAGTACCTTCGAGTATAATGACTTCTTTAAATAATATACCAATAAATATATATATACCTAAACAGTGTTCGCGTATATTTAATTGAAGTAGGTTTTAAAGACACATTTTTTTTAATATTTCTTAATTATTTTCAGAAATGCGTTATTCGAGCGCGTAGAACCTTACGTCACCATCGGCGAGTCTCCTAATTCGTTAGACATCCTCAGTGCGAGAAGAGAAAACATGCCCGAATACGTAACTATCAGGCGACAACGTCCTACGACTGAAGAGACCACTACGGCACAGTGAGTTTCTTTCAAAATGATTGATTAATGCTTTTTTACTGTCTAAATAATGTAAAATACTGAATACTGTAATTCTTTTCAGGTATGAACCCTCGGAGCTAGGCGTCGAATCCCAAGATACCGCTCTCGAAAGAGAAATATCTTCACAACCACAATATACTTCTATAGTGAGGGCGCGCTCGACGACGCTACCCCCTGTCGAAGAACCGAATAGTCCCGAACCGACCACTGTACTGGCTGTTCAAATATCATCTTTATTGAACTCGCCTAATGACGCAGAAATAGAAACACCCGAGCCCGAAGTATCGATAGCGTTAGAGACTGAAGCTCCAACTACTACTCCTACAACTAGCACTACTAGTACAACTTCAAGAAGCACAACGACTGCAGCACCCACTAGTGTGTCCACACGGCGCGCTATTCTGCGACGACGAGGGTCCACTACAACCACCACAACGACGGTGTCACCTACTACTACTCAGGTAAGTTCTAGGAATTATACATTTATAAGACGCCGCCGCCCACTCTCTAGCCAAAACGAAATATCTTCTGATTCTGTGGAAACAGATGATAATCTGAGAAAAATAAGATCTACGACTCCAGACAGCAGGGAAGTAGACGGGAACAGAAATTTCGACAACGTTCTGTCTTCTCGCAAACGAATTAGAATATCGACGTTCAACGATGACTCTATACCCGCAGCGGCATCACCTGTAGCTAGAGGCCGCTTTCGACCAACTTTAACACGTGATGAAGTACTCAGTTTGACACCAGTAGATTCAGAATCACCGCAGTTCGTTCCTCGACAAAATTTTCCACAAAGAACTGAGAGACGATTCCGTGGGAGAACTTCTACGGCAAAAACGGATGAAGTAGAAGATAGTGAAGTTTCTGCTGCCACTGTTGAAGTTAGAAGACCTAATATTTTACCGCGTGGTCGTAGTCGATTCACTCTCAGCACGACAGAAGTGCCTAAAAAGACGACCGATGCTGAATCGAAATCGTTGCAAAGATCTACTTTGCGTTCATTTTCTAGATTTACGCCGAGACCGTTTACCAGACAAGGAACTTTATCGACTACAGCTGACGACAACCTTAATGATGAAGAATTTACACCGACGGTTCCTCAGCGTCCACCTTTTGTGAGAGCAAAAGCTCCTAGCATTTTACAAGGTCGTAAACTGCCTTTCTTGCCTCGCGTATCTACTACAGAACAAATTTTGACTATCGATGATGAGGAATTAGAAAATAAACAGGACGACATTTCCCTTTCTGAGAGTGCGATAGAAGAAAAGGAACATGATGAAGATAACACTGAACAAGAAAATAAAAATGAAAAAGAAGAAGAAAATGGAAATAAAGAAATAGAAGATCATGAAAATAACGAAAAAAATTCAAAAGAAGAAAATGAGGAAGAAAGTGCAAAAGAAATTGAAGAAGAAAATGTTTCTGAAATTCCAAAGCGTCGAATTGTTATCAAAAAGTTAAGACCGCCTTCCAGTACTACGGAAAGCAGTGTTACGGTTATTACGACTGAAACTTTGCCAACTGATGAGACAGGAAAAAGAAAGTTTAGAGTTATAAGACGAAGGCCTACATCTACGACTGAAGCAGATTTAAGTTTAAGTTCCACTGAAGCGTCTTCATCTCCAAAAATTCGTAGAATAATCCGAAAAAAAATTAAGCCCGTAGAAGAAGAACCAAACATTATTGCAAAATCTATAAGTTCACTTAATGTTGATTCAAAAAATAGTATTACCACAGAAACAGTTATAAATTATGGAGAAAAGACGAGAAAGACAACATACGCGTCGACTAGCCAAGCGCCTACATCCGTAGCAAGTGAAGAACCAGAAATAATAAAAACAGTAGATGTGACTGAAATTCCTATTACTGAACAAATTGTTGAAGGTAATTTAGGAGGCGTGAATTCAGATTTAAACACTCCTGATAAAGTTAAAAATGAACAGCCGTCACAATATGACAACAACAATGAAAGTGATGATGATATTATTAAATCTGATACTGTGTTTAATAACGACGAATCAGATGAAGAAACATCTTCTCAGGTTGTTGTTGAAAACGATCAAAAATCTTTCGTTGTATCGGACACCAAAGAAGAAGACACTTATGTGCCTATAACTGAAACGGAGGAATCAAATGCAGAAACTACTACGACAAGTACTACACAACTTACATCCTCTACTTCACGTTCTAGATTACCATACCGGCCTCCTAAACGTTCATTTACTTCCACAACAGAATCTTCAGCTCCTTCAAGTAGTAGAGTTTTTAGTCGCAAATATAACCCAGGTGTATATACGACGCCGTCTACAGCAGCTAAGTCTGATTCACTTAGACCAGTGACCAGACGCCCATTGTTTACTACAAAATTATTTACTAGGAGACCATTTGCACCTGCAAGAACTACCAAAAAGGTGGAAGAAGAACAAGAGGAAGAATATTCTGATGAAGAAATTTTAGATGAAGAACCAGAAAATCCATTTGTTTTTGTTCCACAAGGTCAATTATTCACTAGAAAACCAAGTATTGCTGCAGAAGATGAAGAAGAATATGACACAGAACCAGAAGAAGTAGATGATGAAGAGGAAGAAGAACCTGAAGAAGAACCTTCTCAAAATAATTTCACACCAGTAACTAGAAAGCCAATTTTTAAGCCGCGTGTAGTTAATTCAAATACATTTAGGGCTTCTGTATCCACAACAGAATTACCAAAACGTCAGTTTGGTGGCATTCAAAACCGAACTGCGTTATTTAGCAGATTCGGAGGAATCAAACAATCAAATGATACCAAAAAACGTGTGCAAAATGTACCACTCGGATATGTTGCACCGATTATTTCTGATTCTATATCAAACACTTCTAAACCTGAAATTACCACAACAGTAAAATCATTGCTCAAAGATGAAAATGAACAAAAAATCACAACTGAATCTGATTTCACTACTGGCTCAGACGATGACGACTATTTATCCATGACTGAATCGACTAGTTCTACATCAGATATTACAAGTACATTTGTTGATCTAACATCAATTAATAACATAGATAATGAATCTACTACTTCTGAAATGAATGTGGATACTAGCACTGATGAATACTTAGAAAATACAGAAGGTACAACAAATAATCCTAGTAAACAAGATAGTACAATAAATGATGAAACAGAAACTGAGACCCAGACAGAGAATATCAAAACCGAAACAACAACAGAATCTTTACTAGAAACTACAACAGATGAACCTCAAGTTTTACCGGTTGTAAAAACTCAATTCAACAAGTTATTTTCAGTTAGTAGAGTGGTAGAAGTTTCATCAAAACTGGATAAACATCGACTGAATAAAAATAATGAAACAACTCTTATCGAAGAGGGCAAAATTATGATAGAAAAGAAACCAATGGTCGATAAAATTGGTGAAGTTAGTAGGTTTAGTCTCATTAAAATTGTTGAGGACGAAATACCACTTTATTTAACGAAACTTGGTCATGTTTATCCAGTAGAAAATCCTCCTGATAATTTAATTCGTATCGATGAAGCTAGAAATGCCAGAGCATTACGTAATTTTGCTGATGCTCCACGTGAAAATTTGGTTGCTTCAGAGAGTATAAATGAAGCTTATCGTCATGTAAAGAATTCTAATCAAGACCCGAAAATCGTTAATAAGAGCCAAGTAGAACATGTTTTAAATGATGATTTTCTTAGTTACATAAATGATGAGAAAAAAGTGGAAAAACCAACAGAAGCACCTTTAAGTGCAACTGACTCATCCTATAAGCCAGAATGGCAATTTGTACCTGCTGCTTATGAAAAAGAACAGAAAAATAAAGATCAATCTGGAAAAGATTTTGAAATAATTACTCCACGCAGCTTGCGAACAGATCCATCAACTTTATCGCTGGAAGCGCTCTTTAAGACAGAAAATCCCATTATGGCGAGAAAAGTGAGTGGAAATCAAGAAAATCAGCCATTTGTAGTGTACTCAGCGTCAGTACCCACACAAAATGAAGAAGCAAATATTGTAAAACTAGAAGTCATAAAACCAGAAACCGGACGTAGCATCATCACATTTGCTAAAGGTCAGGAGTTCCAAGGATCTGTGGAAGATAAGGTTACTGTCAAATATCCTGTAAGCATATCGGTAATTCCTTTATCTTCACCATTACCAACGATGCCAATCACTACAACTACATCTACCACAGCACCGACCACAGAAATCATACAAACTAGTCCAATAATAGAATTACTAACGACACAACCAACCATGATAACTACAGAAGCTTCAACAACCACAGATGTTCCATCAACTACAGAAACTGTTACCGAAGAGGTAACGACTCTGAAAGCATCACCGCTTGACGCAAAGAAGTTGAAGTTTCCATTCCCAAGAAGGCCAATAATCAAATCTAACTTTACTCGACCAGTGCCACGACCAGCGAAGAAAATTAACGCAACGGTTATTAATAATTTAAATCAAAAAGTCAACAAAACCACGGGTTTTAGTCCAAGTAAATCTCGATTTACTGCAACCAGGTCTCAAAATGTGCCAATAGATACAAGAAAAAAGAATACCACTAGACTGGTTTCTTTCAAAACGACACCCAAAATTTTCAGCACTGAATCTCCAAGAACGACGACAGAGCGAAAATTATATTTCAAACCCATAAGACCAAGTTTCCGTCCCGCTTTTGTACCCAGAAGAACTACCGCAGCACCACCAACTACCTTGGACACTTAAGAACAATATCCAAAAAAGGGTGTTCAGCAACCCAGATTTCTGGCCATAAATAAATAAATCATACTCTAATTGACTGATTATAAAGTTTAAATTAAAATATTTATATTTCCCACTTCCCTGAGTCTGGATGTCACATAACATGAATTCAGTCGACATTTATAAGCTGAAATTTTCATTTGTGATTCTTTGATTTTTCGTTTTGTTTTTTCCTTTATTTTATTATTTGTGCCTATCGCAATTTTTTAGTCATATTTTTAGAGATTCATAGCTTTAACTAAGGTATACACTTAGATTCTACGAAAGTTTTTTTGTACCAAAAAATGTATGTTTATTATATAATGTTAGTTAGTTTTGGTATAAGAAAGACTTTCAATTTACAAATTGTCTTAGGTTATAGTTATTTAAACAAATATATTTTTAATTATTATTAATTGTTACCAATATAAATTGTAAACGCGAGAGTTAGGTACGGGCATTTTATATATGTGAATGAAAAATTGTATTGTAATAATATCAAGAAGAAAAAGGTTTGTAATAAAGTATTAGTAAGTACATTTATTATATTTTTCTTTTCGAACTTTTATTTACATCGATAGACTTATATGCTAGCTGCTTAAAGTGATATTTATAGTAAGAATCACCCTCAAATATTTAAGATACATTTTATGTAAATTCAACAAAATAACTTTCCGTTTTAGTTTATGAATATGATTCAAGCCGTTGATGTTACATCCATTGACGCACTGCCACCGCATAAAATTATGAAACAAAAAATGACCATTATGCTTTCGACAAAGGTATAATCACTTTCGATTTATAATTACTTAGTGAAATCTTGACTAGCTTATAATGATTTCGGTTCTCCACTGCTAACAATGCGCCCATATGGAAACGATCGATGACAATCTCCCATTGGAGTACATGAGAACTATTGTTGAGTTTTCAATATTTTTCACCTTTTCAAACACTTCACGATTTTTTGTGTAGCTTTTGACTAAAGGTCAATGTGTACAAAAGATTTTTTGTGACATCAATAACACAATTATATCATGATCATTTTTTTAAATCGAATCACGTTTTCTATAATACATAATAACACCACCAGTTTCGTGCTCGAGGAAAACTTCATTGATATACGTGGTAAAAAACTATTAGACTCTACTTAATAAAAAATAAGCAAAGTAGGAAATGATTTATAAAGAGTAGCACAGTAAAAAAAAGAACATTTTGACTATCTCAATCGTGTGCAATTTTGTTATAACGCCGCTGATAGTATTTATAAAGTATCTATTGTTAACAACTATTGATAAAGATAACTAACTGGCAGGTGTTTTAAGAAAAGAAATTTAATAGAGGACCGTAGAATAATTTAAATGCTTTTAATAACGCCACAGTTCTAGATCTTAACAACTTCAAGTAATTGTTTAATAAAATTTGCACAGTGTACTCAAAAAAAATACAGATTTTGCCTCAGAAGATCAGTTTCAAATTGTTGAAGCTATCTAACGAATTTAAGTAGCCTTTTCTTTATCATCATCTGTTGCTTCTTTCTTTTTTTTAACAATCTTTCACTATATCGAGTTTGTCTAAATGCTTCATTTAAGTTGACTTTTAAAGCTTGATACTAGTTGATTAGTCGTTAAGCAATGACCTAGATAATTGTTTGGCACATGTGGCACGCGAGCCCTGCTGTACACCCTTCTCTTTGCTAAATGATTTAGAAAACCTTGAAATCAATTAAGATTATACCGAGAAAATTTATAACAATATTTTAACGAATAAAGGGTTAATTTACACTAATTAGTTACATACATAATATTTTTAATTTATTAAAGCACTTAGTAACATAAACTAGCGTATTATACAGTTAACTACACTAGTAATATGTTTTTAATTACAGTTTATATATCTTGTATGTGAAACTATATTTATCAAATTTAATTGTTATGGCAATTATCTGTCTGGGTAATTGTATCTGCGGCTGAGTAGTAGGCGAATTTTACATTAAGTGACATGTTATTTTAATTGGTAATATATTTAATAAACAAGTATAATTAGGAATTCAAGATAAAAAGGTTTGATGAATTAGATTAAAAATAAGAGTTCTTCTTTTACACAGTGTTCTTTATGATAGTATTTTAGGTCCGTTACCCAGTAGTAATCTTATAAAACGCTTTTTTGTTTCCCTTATTTTCACTTAAATTTATCTGCACATAGTATGAATGGCAACTAAAAGTTTTATCCAAAAGTATATGATTTTAAAAATTTTGAAAATCACTATTTTATTTTTTTATTTATTCTACAAAACGAATACAATAATTTAATATATCAGAACGGTACAACATAAACTTACAAAAGTTTTTCCATGTGCCGCCGATACGCACTCGATCCGTTTTTTGCACGTTTAACAACTTGCATGTAGAGTCCGACATGAAGCATATTTAGGATGTTTCTTTGTCAAAATATCATAATATTTGTAGAAGATCAGAGAAATATATATCCTAAACCAATAAAAGCATATTAGTGACAACGACATAGCTACAAATAACGTGGTTATTATTATCATCATATAACATGTAATTATAAATACATGTAAGTACGTGCTATATTTAATTTAAATGGATCTATATTCTACAAACACTGTTACTATATAACTTCACTTAAACGCGTGTCTACAAGAGATTCCCTATCTAATAAGATTGTCGACACATTAGTTGTTTTGTTTTTCCTTTAATCTGTATATATGCAAGTATATATCTTCGACATCAAACAATCAATAATGCCATGACGAAGTTTGTACATTGTGACGGCCCCAATCAAACAAACGCAGATCTGTGAGTACGTGGGAGTCGTGACACTCGTGACATGACTGTGCGACCTCCATTATGTATCCAGTCAGATGTAGAAATGTGCTCAAACTTTTGATAGTCTTACTGCAAGGGATGGTATACTCTTAGTACTATGTTCAGTATAGCGGTATTCATTTTATTTGCATTCAGAATGCTATATTGATAGGTGTTTTATCTTAAAGAATTATGTTTATAAAATTCATCAGTCCCAGGTACATCCTATTTCGGCCACCTGGGACTTTAGCTAGTACTTGTTCATTTGGGAATTGTGACCCAAAGTAATTTTGCCGTTCTCGTGAAGAGTGCAATAGACTTGGTTTAGGTTACTTTTGAGCTAATAGTAACTAAATATTTAGTTTTTGTTTTGTGTGTATCTTTGACATTCAAAAGAATATATCATATCAAAAGAATCAAAGCTTTTGTTCATCAAAAACATAGAGCTCATTTTTCCGATCACGAATATGTACTTAAGTCAGTGTGCTTTAAACTTCGAGTTATTGATTATATTCCATATGTTCAGCTTCATTTGGCTAGTACCGATCGAGTACTTACATTCAATATTTATATCGAGGGTTTTATACGACGAGATTTTTAGCCGAGCAGTCAAAGTAAATAATTTCATAGCGTCGCTATCTCTGATATCCCGTGTTCGACTTCTACCGCATCCAATGGGCTTTTCTATATATCATATAATAGGCAATTCAGTTCAGTTCAGACTTAATACTTTCAAACTACGTTTTTTATTCTGTAAGTAAGATAATAAATAAAAAGCTTGACACTTCAGCGCATTTACCTAAAATTTATCATTGACTCTTATGCCAAGAACTGCTTGTAAATCCTTTACGATGTCAAAATACAAGTACTCGAGATTCTGTTATTATGTAAAAATTTGCGGCAATAATTATAAGGTTTATTACAAACCATTAGCCATGTTGTTTTTCAGTAATTTATTTCCTAACAACAAAGAATTTGCATTTATTTAAATTAAGAAAATACGGCTTGGGCTAAAATACCTTAATAATAATACAGTTACTAGGTCGGAGCGTTACAACTGACGCAAGTCGGTCGTAGGTTACAAACGAATGAGGCGAATCGAGTCATTAAGTTTCTGTTGTCACCGCGCGGGCCGCTTGTGATGACACCATCCTTACGCAATGTCATAAAGCAAAAGATTCTAAAAGGGCGTCACATTTTACCTATAACTTAACATGACACCTGAGGATTTTAAACCAAATCCTACTTATAATTTTATTATTATTATTTTTTTAATTTACTCTTCCCGACCCCTTGACGATTCGAGGGTGGGAGACCCGAGCAGAGGAGGCCAGACGGCCGGGGGTCAGGGCGACAAAGAAAGAAAACGGCGGACGATCCTTGCGTTATCGAGCAAGATCGCCCGCTGGAGCCTCGCAATCATTATTTATTTATTATTATTATTAATATTATCAAAGCCAGGCAGACAGTTGCAACAACTGATGTGGCCTGTATCCCAATATCTTTTATGCGAGATATTTCATTCTTCCTGTTTCATAAATTTGTCTAGTCTATTTTTAAATTGGTTTGTATTCTGTGCTGAAACTACATCTGTCGGTAATCTGTTGCAAGCTTCCACCACTCTGTTACTAAGAAAATTTTGTTTAAACCATATCACCGTTACGTTATAAATTATCTAAAAATAAATTTCGAGAAAGAATAATAATAGGCTTTCAGGAGTTAATAGACTCTTCTATGGTCAGTAAAGCTCAGTCAGTTATAGGACTACTGCTAAAATTAGCTCACATCATGGGACTGGCACTTACACTCGTAATGTAACTTCTATTTCAAGTAGTAGCTACTTAACCTTCACTTCACCATATTTACTTCATGTTATAAGATTACGTATAGAGACTCTTAAGTGTCTTAATTCAATTTTGTAATTTAGACGCAATTCTTTTTACAGTTGTGGTAAAAGGGGATATAGTAGTACCACATTTTCAGTACTGTAATCACTCTACTACATGGAACTGCCAGTAATACCTAAATACACCTTTCCCGCGACTTTATAGGCCCCGTAATTTATAGCCTTTGTCATCGGTATATGATGTTGCTCTCGTAAGTGACAGAATTTTTAAAATCAGTCCAGTAGTTTTGGAGGCTATACAATGCAAATAAAAAGTGTAATTTTGCTCTTTATAATATAATTTTAAATACATATAGAACAACTCGATGATTTGGTTAGGACACTTTGTCTACAGGGTATCCAAATGTAATATGAAATTAGATTTTTTTGTTGAACTAACACCCATTCAGTAAAATAACGTCCATTAATATTGTCATTAGTTAAAAGACACATTACCGATACAAATCTTCAAAAGAATATTCAAACCTCGTTGGATGTTTGTATAATACTTTCAACGTTAACATAAATTCACTATGAGATAGATTATTATTATATCCTATAATTAAATATATTATGTGTCACGATATTTATATAATGTATAAATATTGTAATCTGCGGACGGTACAAACATCGTGGGTTATAAATTACCGGTCGCGTCTTCTTGCGCAGCTTCGGGTGAGATCGAGCCCTTTCCACCTACCTATCTGTTACAAACAGCATACCTACCTGTATAAACCTGATATTAACTTACTATAAAGATTGTTCCCACGCTAAGGACATTCGCTTGTTGTAAATGTATGGAGCATAATGGTGAGCAAACGAATTATTCTTTGGACTAAATAAAAATACTTCTATTTAAAATCTCCTATAAAGTTACTTTTACGTATTTTGAATTGTGATTTTTTCCATTAGAAATTGAAAAAATTAGACTTGGTCCCGGCGGAGAAGCAAATAAAAGATAATCATGTAACGTCTTGTTATAAAAGAGGACTAGCTTTAGAACCTGGTTTCAACCATAATCCGATCAATATAAATCAACATATTTCAATGTGACTTTTTCTTTTTTAATATTGTCAATTTGCTTTAAGGCGGCCAACGGTTTTAACCAAA